GTATTCTCTTAGCTACTTCCTGCTGAAAAGGGACGCCTGTTCAGCTCTTTAACTTTGACACGCTTTCCTTTTGTTTTGGCTTCTCAAGGCTCCAGTGCAATCTTTAGAGTCTCTTCTGACATCCATTTCTATTTTTTCCTTTCTCCTCCATTTCTGTAATGATGTTTTGCTTTATCCCACAACTCATCTGGCCAGAAACTGTATTCTAGCAGGGTAATATTCAGATTCCATGATACTGACTTTATAAGTTTATTCTCTTGTGGTTAATTTCCAGTTTTATGGCATTGTGGTCTAAGAAGAAACTTTGCATTTTTTCCAGTGGTTTTTTTTTTTTTTAAATTTCTTGAGGCTTGCTTTGTGCCCTAATATGTGATCAATTCTGGATAATATCCCACGTGTACTTGAGAAGAAAGTGAACTGTGTTTTAGTTGTGTGCAGTGCTCGGAGTACATTCACAAGGTCAAGTTGGCCGAATGTGTAGTTTAGATCTTCTACATCTTTGCTAACTTTCTTTTGAGTTCACCTATCCTTTGGTGAGAGTGGTGTGTTAATGTCTCCTACCACTATTGTGTAGCTGTCTATTAATTTCTTCAATTCTGGTAACAGTTATTTCATGTACTTACCAGGTCTATCATTTGGTGCACAGACATTGACCAAGGTTATGTCTTTTTGATCTACTGTGCCTTTAATCATTATATCGTGTTCTTCCTTATCTTTTATGGTGATTACATTCTGAAGTCTTTTATTAGAGATTTTTAGTTATTCATGCTTTCTTGTGAATGTCATGTACTCGGTATTTTTTTTCTCCAGCCTTGATTTTGAATCTATCTTTCTCTTTGTTTCTTAGATGTATCTCATGTAGGCAACATATTGATGGGCTTTTTTTTTATCACTTCTGCTACTTTTTTTCCTCTTGATTGGTGCATTTAGTACATTCGTATTACTAGTGATTACTGATGTTTTATCATTGCCATTCTGCTGTGTTTCTTTTTTTGTTGTTTCTTGTTACTATGGTCCATCCATTTTCCTGTGGTGTTTTTGTGTGACGAGCTTCCCATAAAAGTTCTTGATGATTTGGCCTTGTTTTCACAAATTCCTTAAGTTCTTTCTTTTCTGCAAAGGATGTGATTTATTCTTCATATTTGATGGAGAGCTTTGCTAGGTACAGGATACTCAGCTGGCAATTTTTTTTTCACCCTTCTGTATATGCCATTTCATTGTCTTCTTGTACACATGGTTTCTACTGAAAAATCAGAACTTAATCTTACTGCTTTTCCTTTGCAGTTGACTCTGTTTTTCTCATGCTGGTTTTAGTATTGTGTCTTCATATTTTAATTTGGAGACTTCGACTAATATATGTCTTGATGTTCTTCTTTTTTGGGTCTAGACTATTTGGTGTTTGCTTAGTTTCCTTACTGTGGATTTTTTCATTCTTCATAATACCTGGGAAGTTTTCTTCTAATATATCTTCCATAATATTCTCAGTGATTTTTCTGTCCCTTTCATATTCTGGAATGCCCATCATATATGTGTGTGTCTTTTGATGTCATCTCATAAGATGATTCTATTGTTTTCTTCATTTTTTTATGTCTCATCTCTGATTTCTCTTCTAGCATATTTCCGCTGAGGTTCTTATCTTCCAGCTCACTGGGTCTCTGCCCCATGTTTTTCATTCTACTCTTTTGTCCCTCCAGCATGCTGGACACTTCTGCCATTTTGGTCTTAATGTTCTGGATTGCATTTTCATGCATTTCTGTTCTTTCCAGGACTGTGTTGGCTGTATCCTTGCTATTTTGTGATGCATTTTTAAGTTCTTATATCTCTTTGTCTATAGATTCAATTCTTTCCTCCATCTTTTGCATTTTCTTCCGTGCACATTCGTCCTCTTCAATATATTTCTTCTGGCTCTACATCTCTGGAGCCTCTGCTTTCTTAAAGGCCTCTGCTGTTTCTCCCATCATTTGTACTTCCTAACTGCTCAAATAACTCCTCATAAATATATTTTATCTGATTCTCTACTTCTAGGGCATTCTCTTTATTTGTTGCTTCCATTGTTTCTTCCTTCATTTGTGTTTTCTTCCATAGCTGTTCGAATGTCTTTACATCAACATATATCATTTGCCTTCTTGACTCTGAGGTATTCATTGGGTGTGCTTTTATTCTCTTTTTTGGAGAAGGCTAAATTTATTTTCTCAGTGTTTGAAGCTTTCTTTCATTTTCTTGACCTTATGTGAGGTTTTTCTTATAAGTGTTACACCTTTTTTATTGTGCCTGCATAAGTTGTCGGTAAATCTTTATGATGTTGTTGATTAGTTGTCATGTTAAAATGTTCAAGGTATGGGGTGAGCCACTCACTCTACTGAGAGTCCTTTCTGGGAAAATTTGCCTTTCCTAAGGTCCTTCAGGTTCTCTCTGTTCTGCACAGCAGCCCTCCAGGAATTTCACCTTACTGTAGTCCCCTAACTCAAACTATATTTTCCTCCTTCATCTATGGAGTCTCCGAGTGCTATGAGATCAGGTGCTACACTCAAGTAGTTTCTGTCTAGGAGGGTTTCAAGTCAGTCTCTTTTTTGCAGCTCAATATATACCTTGAGAGAGCTGAGAAAATCTTTCCATTGCTTGTGGATCTGTGTCCCAAACTCTCTAGTCCTATTTGGTCCCTGGGATGGCCCTGCAGTTCCTGCACTTTCTATCCTGAAGCTTAATGACTGTCTCTGGAGTGGCGCAAGGTTAGGGCCACCAACTTACACAGTTAGTATACAGGCGGGTCTCAACTCAGCCCTTCCTCTCTCAAACAGCTGAGAAAGTCTTTCCCCTGTATTTGCTTGGCATTTCTTAAGCTGAAGGAACTGAAAAATGAATTCCAGCCTTGAGTTATAATATGTAGGATGCTGTGGGCAGAATAGTAAATGATCCAGGAAGCATTAAAAGGAGATGGAAGGAGTATACAGAGTCATTGTACCGAAAGGAATTGGCTGACAGAGAAGAATTTCATGAAAAAAAAAACATGAGCAAGATCCTGGGGTGATCAAGGAGGAATTTCAAGCTGTTTTGAAGGAACTGGCAAAAACAAGGCCCCAGGACTTGATGGCATAACAATGACAAATTTCAACAAACAGACGTTACACTGGAGACATACTCACCAAGTTGTGCCAAAGAAAACTGGAGAACAACCACCAGGCCAACTAACTGACGTTCTCATACACAGATCTCTATGTATGTTCCCATTCCAAAAAAAAATGTGACGCAAAGAGTGTGGAAATTATCGAACAGTATCATACATATTATATGCAATCAAGATCCTGCTGAAAATTATTGAAAAATGACTGAAAGAGAACATCAACAAAGAATGGTGAGACGTGCAGGCTAGGTTTAGAAGAGGCCTAAGTATTAGGTATATTATAGCTAATGTTAGATGGATCTTGGCTGAAAGCAGAAGAGTACCAGAGAAATATGTGTTTCATTGACTATGCAAAAACATTTGATTGTGCGGACTTTGCCACCTGGCAGCATCATGACAGACAGAGAAGAGACTGAGATTGTTCACAGCCTCAGCTTGCTTGGATCCACAATCAACAGTGTTGGCACCATCAGCAAGGAAATCAAAAGACAAGTTGCATTAGGAAAGTCTGCTATCAGGGACCTCTCCATAGTACTGAAGAGCAACAATGTGACACTAAGGTGTGCCTGATCCAGGCCATGGTCTTAGCAATTACTTGCTATCCATCAGAAAGCTGGACAATGACTAGGTATGACAGAAAGAAAATTGGGGCCTTTGAATTGCGGCGCTGGAGAAGAGTACTGAACAGAGTGCATTCAATATATTGAATAGACTGCTAGGAGAACAGTTTCATCCTGGAGAGGGTGAAATCAGGGTTCTCCTTGGAGGCAAGGATTCTAAAGTTCCATCTGATATACTTTGGGCATGTTGCAAAGAGGGACCAGTCCTTGGGGAGGGACATCATGCTTGGGAGGGTAGAAGGACAGCACAAGAGAGGAAGACCCTAGAAGAGGTGGACTGACTTAGTGTCTGGGGTAATAGGAGTAGGTGTTTTAGAGATAATAAGGTTGGCTCAGGATAGAGCAGGGTTCAGAGCCATTGTACTTATGAGTTACAAGTCACTCAACAGAATATAACAACAACAAAGAAAAGTTTTCTTATAAATATATAACAAAGAAAATGGAAATGGTAGTATCTGTTGTGATCATAAGTAAGTAAATGCAGTTAACTTAGAACATAATGGACTGGGTTAGAGTCAAAGAAATGAGGCTTTCCACGTAATGTATGCATTCTAAGAACATTCTACTTCCATGGAGTTAATACCATGGGATTTTTGACTCAGTAGGTGAAAATGAGTAAGAAAGATTAAATTAGCTTCATAAACTAGAGTTTACATTTAAAAGAGAAACAAGTTCAACAAGAAAGCCACATGTAGAAGCAAACTTACCAGTATCGGAATTTTGAACCCAAAGTAAAATAATGTGCAAAAAAATTCTTTTGAGGTGGAATTGGTCTGTCCAAACGGAAGAATGTGTGATGCTCTACACATGCTTTCCACAAATTTTTACATGCTCTGTAATTCACCATATTAAATCCCAATAATGTTTCTCTAGATTCATGCTGTGATAAATAACAAAATACAGAAAATACCAGAAGTTGTTAGAATTTAATGTTTCATTAAATTTTTGTTTTAATTATCCTTGACATGCAAATAAGAATACCTCTAATTTATTTTTGTTTATTGAATAAAGGAGTTATAAAATTAAAAAAATTAAAAATATCAACCTTATTCCATAATATTACAACTTATAGGACATTTTACTTTAGATTATAGTTAGAAATAAGTTGGAAATTTGGTAACAACTTAAAACTTTAACTCTGGCATTTCAAGATATAATCTTCACCCATAAATTAAAATTTAAGATATGATTATATAACACCTTTTAACAACAGTTCACAATGCCTAACCTTCTCCCTTAATTTCAGTACCTCCCACCACTAGTATAAAATTTAATTAGTAATAAAACAGAAGCATTTATTTTCTTTTTGTAAAAATTACTATTTTTTAAATTATAAATATTCTTGAAATACACTATCAAAACACACATCTCAATCATACATAAATTTATTTTCTACACAATGAATACAACCATTTAATCTCCACTCTGATGAAAACTAAGAGTCAATGACTGAGTCAATTTTGACTCAGCTCTGGTGGCCTAGTGCGAAGAAGCTGTGCTGCCAATTCAAAGGCAGGTGCTTTGAATCCACCAGCAGCACCACAGGAGAGAAACAGGCAATCTCCTGCCATGTGACTTCCTGCCTCTGATAACAGGCTGACAGGTCAGCTGTGGTCGGTGCCGACTCTGTGGCATACAACAGCAACATGAAGTTATCCTTTGGTGTACAACAGGACTATCCACAGGGCTTCCATGGCTGTCCATCTTTCTGGAAGCAGACTACTTCATCAGTGACTTTTTGATAAGTGGTCAAATTCCTTCAACAATATGTTGCCAGGGTTCCTTGAATCATTACTAGCAATTTTGAAATTTTTCCCCCAATCTTTACCCTCCTGGCAAATGTAATCACTCTTCTAATTTTATTACCACAGTTTAGGTATTCTTGTTGTTGAACTTTACATAAATAGAATTACACAATATGTGTTCCTTTGAGTATCATTTCTTTTGCATTTTTATATTAATTCATAGAGTTATACAGCAATAGTTCAGTCATTTCACTCTGCATAGTATTCCATTATTGAACATATGACAGTTTGTTTAATCACTGTATTGTTGATGGGCTCTATTATTGATAGACACACTGTTATGTTTCACTTTAGGGTTATAATAATAATACACACACACACACACACACACACACACACACACTTCTCTATGTTGTCTGGTGTATCTCTAAGATATGTAATTGAGGAGGCAGAGGCAGGTGTTTATTCAGCTATAGTAGATAATGACCCAAATAGTTAGATCATTACACACTCTTGCCCACCAGCAGTGGTAGTTCCATAGACTCACCAAAACCTAGGTTTATCAGTCATTTTAATTTTACCATTTTGACAGGTGGGCAGAGGAATTACGTTTTGGTTAAAATTTGCACTTATTGATGACTAATGATGTTCAAGATCTTTCATTGTTTATTTGCCACATGGATATAATGTGTAAAATGCTCATTCAAGTCAACAGCCTATTTTTCTATCATGCTGGATATACAACAAAAGTTGTGTGTTTACTGTTATCAATTGTGCTAATTAACTCTCTTAATGTTATCTTTTGACGAAAAGAGCTCTTACTTTTAACATAGTCCAATTATCAGGCTCTGAAGGTTAGGGAGGTTGTCTTCCATGCCTTAGTGTAAGATATATTTACCTATTATAAGCTCATGAAGATACTGCCTATGTAACTAAAATACAGTAAAATGGTCATGAATTACAAGTACAGTATGGTTAAAATATCACCTCTTAACTGCCAGAAAATTAATTCTTAATTATGGTTAACAGTTCTTATGTATTCACTAACATACAGTTTACATAATATATATTTTATAAAACCATCCACAAAATGAGAGACAATGTCTCACAGGGCTGGGGCACACCACCATTTCCGGTGCTAGCATCTAAGATTCAAACTAATCCACCATTTCTGACATGAGCATATTTTTCAAAATTTTTATGGAATATGATATTTTGCCATTGTGTCTAAAATGAAACAAAGGATTTTTTTTCATGTTTTATATACAATATCTTACTGAGTTTCTGAGGATAAAGAAAATATTTTTGTCCTATGTCAACAGCAACTCCAAAATGTTATATTGAGAAAGATATAGATTTTAAGACATTTGGGTTTTAGAGGAAGGTTTTTGAGAGGAAATAGCAACAAAAGTTACTTTGTGGTGCACTGTCTTAATTTAAGCAACTGTTAATTAATTTGGGGGTTTTTAAGTTGTGATAGAAACCATTATTTAATGACAGACTACTTCAGAAAATGGCTGTGAGGAATATATTTTCTAATATATATGTATATATATATATGCGTTATGCAGATGACACAACCCTGCTTGCTGAAACTGAAGAGGACCTGAAGCACCTGCTGCAGAGGGTCAAGGACTGCAGCCTCCAAT